ATCTATATATATATATAGGGGGGTGTATTATTTTACAGGGGTTTTTATGTGTATGGGGGGGAGAAGAAGTGTATTTAGGCTCCATTCACACCTGTATCTTTTGGTGCAATTAGGGATTCCTGCATCAGGAACATGCGTTTCCTGCAGCAGGAATCCCTAATCTGGCATTTAAAAGCGGCAGCTGTCACATATTCAAGTTAATGATCAGGTGACAGCAGCTGTATGTAAACGCCTGCACACTGCATGTAATGATACGTGATATGATTACATTCGGTTAGGAATCAATCACTCTCCCTGGACGCAATGATTGTGCATTCAGGGAGTGTTTTCTAACGGCATGTAATAATATCACATATCATTACATGTGGTGTGCAGGAGTTTACATGCAACTGCTGTCGCCTGATCATTAACTTTAATGGGTGGCATTGGCCGCTTGTAAAAACCGGATTAGGGATTCCTGCTGCAGGAAAACGCAAGTTTCTGACGCAGGAATCCCTAATTGCACCTAAACCTACAGATATAAATGGGGCCTTATGGTGTGTATTAGGGTCCATAGCACCAACCCGGATATAGTTAAATTTTATTTTAAAGTCTGAAATTTGGCGAGCGGCCCCCATGGGAGAATTTTTTTTCCGAGTGGCCCCCAAGTGAATTGAGTTTGAGACCCCTGGCCTAGACTGTCTGCCAGTAAGTTTGCCTTCCACTACTACTGGGCCTGTGTGGGGCTATTGTGGGCCATCCGTTCCTGACCAGTCAGGGATAGGCAAGTAAAACATATATTCATATGCAGTTGGTGTAATCCCAATGTAGGCTGTATAAGTGGAAATATATTTTAATATTATAAATATGCATTCAAAGAAAATTCCTACCTTGCCCGGGATTCTCTTCCATCTTCTAAAGAGTTGGTCTGAAGAGCAAGAGCCTGCGTCATCCTTTCTAATCGTACAGCCCGGGGTGTCAAAGGAGGTGTGGTCTCACACTGCATCAAGGTCTTCTCATCTCTGCTTTCTTCTTTAGGAACATGATTCTGTGCACAAAGACAATATATTAAGTTCTACTGAGCCTATTTACAATGGGACTAAATTGCCTTTTTCTTGATCACTCACCACATGACACAAGTTTTGTTGGGGACGCACATGACAGATCATTGTCAAGGGGGTTTCTGGGGGGGTGGAGGATCTGGGGGACTACACAACCTGATCACTGTTCTACCCCCTCTGGAGACATTATTTCTGTTAGTGCCAAACTGTGCTTCCTATTCCTTTGTAGCTAGCATCAGGGTCCACTGCTCCCTCTAGAGCACCCTCCTCTGACTTAATATCTAGAAAGGATTTCACCACCGTTATGGTGGATCTTATGGGGAAGGCGGTTGATCTCCTTCACATACAACTGGGAATAGGGGGTGCAAGTGGCCCCCCTTTCCTGCTTCCTCAGAGACCTCCTCTGATTCTCCACTAAATGCATTCCCACTATCTGAGAAGAAGGAAGAGAAAGGAACTGTTTCCAGTCTCTAGGAAACCTCTTTGTAAAAGAACCTGTCTCCTAAAATTTGCCCTAAGCTCAAGAACTGTGGATGCAGTTAGCACGTTTGCAATTAGACATGTCTACCCAAACCCGCTAAAACCTTTTTTTTTAAAGATCATTTTTATTGATTTTTGCAAGTGTCAGAGACACAACAATGATAACAACAACACCAGGAGATAAACAGAGGCCAGTGTCAAGGGAGTCCCCTCTATCGCCATATGGATGATAACAAATCTCCCGTGTCGGTCAGTCTTAACCTGGAGAACATCAGCATTAAGCGACTTAGCTAGCAGAATGGACACCCCACGTCAATATGATGAGTATACAGCATTAAAGGATTTGGCTACCCAGTGTTTTTCCAATGCCAGAATCCTAGATCCCAGCAGATGGGTCTCCTGCAGACACACCACATGTGGCTTAAGTTTAAAGAGGAAGTCGAATACAAGGGAGCGTTTGAGGCTGGAATTCAAGCCCCGAACGTTCCATGAAATAAATTTATATTGCATCAGAGGACAGGGAAAGAGTCAGGGCAGTTAGAAGGTGAACCTGTGAATTGAAGCGGTGAAACCTCGTGAACCAATGCAAGCTGTAGAGCGTCATAACATACAAACAGTAGAAAACGTCAACCGACATCCCAACATGAACTACCATTCCCATCCCACCCCGCTTGTTAACCCAACTCTAACAAGCCCGGACCCCTTAACGTAACCAAAACTCAAGCACATGAACATCATGCTTCAGCAGAGAGGGGTCTATATGTACCCCCTCAATCTGTGATGCCAGGGAGGTTTTGCAGTCCCAAATAGCCTCTATTAATTGTAGGAGGGTGGGCTCAGCAGGGGCCTGTGTGTCTGCAGGGAACGTCTCCCCCATCCCCCTCTCCTCAGAGGCCCTGCCAGCACCTTGTACAGGTTGGCCTTTTGTGTGTTCAGCCTGGGGGGATTGTGCTGCCTTCCCCTTCATGCCCAGCTGGGACAGTGGAGCAGATTTCCCCTGGGAAGCCCCCTTACTTGAGGATTGAGGAATCCCCGTCCTCATCGTGGAGCCCGAGGAGGTGCGGAGGGCCGCATGTCCGGCACCATCTTGCCGCTGGAACCGGGCCAATTTTTGGGCCGCGGAGACGTTCCTTTGGTCCCCGATTTTCCCCATCGTAGCTGCCAGGAGGATCCTGAGGGAGAGCGGAAGGAGCTCGGGTGCCGACCGAGTCGCTGGAACCGTCAGGATAGGGTAAGGATGAGAATGGGACCGGAGCTGCTGTGATCAGCGTCCGTCCATGCACGCCGCTTAAACCTGCTAAAACCTTACCTGTTCACCCACACTAACAGCATGTGTTGTATGGTGAATGGAATCACCCTGGGGAGTTGTTCTCTCATCCCAAATGGTTAAAGACATATTATAAAACAATTTCAACTGTGCAAGTTTTCAGACATCCCTTTCAAACAGCACAGCTTAGTCTTTGATCTTTTTCAGTGTGCTCTCACTAATTAAATGTTGAAGCTGTACTGTATGATTGTCACTATGTCGCCCTGAGGAAGGGACCCTGCATGGCCCCGAAACGTTGGCTTCATGATGTATGTGACGCATTAATAAAAGTGCTTACGCTTTTCACACAATATCGAATGCTAGTGACTTCCATCATGAATTACCAAAGAAATCGCTGCAGTTTTTAATACAGAAAACTGCTACAGATCCCTGCAAAAATGGAGTTGGTTTAGGAATATGGACTGTTTGCAGGTAAACTGAAAGACAGCTCACATGACTCTTTACCCATGCAGTGAACACACTACATAGGCAGAGCCTGCATATAGGCAGGGAAAGGTTATTTTCGCTGCTTATACAGTATGCCTGGCTGTTAACCTTGGGAAACGCAGGGTAACAGCAGTGGCATCAGTGCAATGTCTAGTGCAGACACAGCACAGAAAACATGGAAGATCACCCCTAAAAAAAAAAAAAAATATGGCTTGCACTAGAGGTTCATTTTGTGCACCAAAACTTACTTATAAAACCTGATTTGATAGCTCAGTTTGCTTTTAAATCCTCCATTAGCCAGCTAAGAAACACACTGTTTTTACAATTTTTATTATAGTGTATTTATTTTGCTGTCTTTATAAAAGGGTAACGGGGTGCCAAAAGAAATCACAATTACAGAATAGTAAATTCTGAAGGTAGGAAGTAGACACATTAGAGGTGCAGACAAAAATTTGCACCACCGCCCATACATCTTTAGCTCTACAGAGGTATTCTACTGAAATATTAGCAACATGTACAAACTGTATCATGCTGTGTAAAATGTCATGAGACTCCACAGGAACAGTTTATTTACTTTAATTAATAATTGTAGACAGATCAATAATAAATACCCATTTCAAGTCTCCATATCTTTTAACAATCATCAAGTCAATGATGAAATGGGATACGACTACACATAAAGTAAAAAATCGATTCAAAACATTTGTCTAGAACTGGAAATTCACGAAGAATGTAATACTTACAAATTTCTCGCCCTCTCGAGCTGGGCTATGGGGGGTTATACGTGGGGTAGAGTGTCCACTACTGGGTGGGGAGGGGCTGGCCAAAGTGGAAGTGGTGACAGATGTTGGAATGGAACTAGCAGAGCGGTAACGTCCCAGAGATCCATCAAGAGTGCCACTTGTAACCCTGCTTTCAATCTCTTCAGCCCGCAGCTCAGTGGTCTCCTTCTCTTCCTGTATCAACCTGGCAAGAAGAGGCAATGTAAGCAGAGAATAATTCTGCGTCTATAGCACTCACGCATTCTGCTGCACTTTACCATTTAAGGAAAATGACAAAATAAACATAAAAGGACCAACACTATGTTACAAACAATGAAACAAAAAAGGTAAGAGATCTCTATCTGCAAAAGTGTAGAATGAAAGATATCAGACCATTCATGTCTAATTGTAAAACATAACGACCTAGCAAGATTCTCTGAAAAAACACAACTGGCAGCAGATGCTGGTAAAAGGAGGATAAAGAGTAGAGGTCATAAATTAAGTAAACAAGAAGTGGAGAAAGCAACAAACGTACTGCCAGGTATGGTACTGCCAACAATGATGTATTATCTAGATCAAATAGATGTTTTGGGAAATTAAGTAGACAGCCTTAAAAATGTGTTTAACCCCTTCGTGATGGGAGACGTACACTGTACGTCCCGCCACAAAGGGACCAAATGACTTGTCACGTACACTGTACGTGACAAGTTATTTGCTGCACTAGAAGGCTGGTAACCGCTGAGAATCAGTGGTTATCATTCATTAATGGATGCCTCAGTACAGAGGCATCCATTAATGAAAGGGTTAACCTTTTTCAGACACCCGATACCTGAAGATCGGGTGTCTGAGAGTCAAAGCAGAGCTGGCATGTTTGCCGGCTTTGACAGCTCGTATAGATCGAGAGATATCTCTCTCAAGCTATACTGGCTTTTTTTTTCTTTCACTTTCAGGAATAGACACATACTGTATCTATTCCTGAAAGAAGAATGTTTCAGTTTTCTGATGGTTGTTGTAACAATCAGAAAACTAGTGAAAGCTGAATCCTGAACTGCTGCAGGATCAGTGTCACTAACTTATTATCGGCTGTTCTGAAGTTTGAAGCAGCCTAATAACCAAAAATGTATTAATTTATCAAGCAGTAATAGTGAGATTAATTCACAATGACTGCTTGATATAATTAAAATAAATGAAATAACATTTTTAAGTTTAAAAAAATAGTGAAAAGTGTAAAAAAAAAAAATAAGTGTAAAAAAATATATAAAAAAAGGGACAAATAAATGAATGTATTCATTGCATTTTTTTTAGCTGTGCTGGTTTTGTAAAAAAAAAATACTACAAATCAAAACTGGGAAAAAAGTGTTTTTTTATGTTTTTTCCTCTTTTTTTATATTTTATTTGTCCTAAGTGAGGCGTTAGACACACATATGTGCTATAAATATGTAGGCCTATCTGCCCTCTAAAAAACAATATATAATATGTGTGGGTGCACTTTGTAAGAAAGTATATTACTGACGTGGAAGAATCACACAGCAAAAATGTCAAAAGTGTGTCAGTCATTTACGAACAGAAACTAAAAACAAGCTCAGTCATGAAGGGGTTAAAGCAGACCTTTTTTAAGTAACTGAAACATGAAAAAAATTGTTATGTTTTCATGTAAAAAGTCTGACAACTCCAAGCTTTTTTTCATTATGGAATTTAGAAAATGCAGAACTCTTACAGGTCCACCCTACACTATGTTAATTACATAATTTTCATACACAGCTTTATGTAAAAATGTTTAAATCCCTGCCTTTACCAAGATAGCCACCGCCACAAAAACAAAGTGGAGAACAAGGCATTGTAAGTCAGTAATACAGAAAAGAACGCAGCAGGGAGACCATAATCAATATTAGTGATTAGTTGTTTGTCCTTTTTTTGGGCACAGTTTCCACTTTAAAAGCCCTTTCAAATTGGCAGTTCAATCAGGCGGATCTGATTGGAAGCTCAAAGTTAGTCGGCAGCCGGATCTTTTTTTTGTTAAATCAATTGTTATTGGAGCTTTCAGGAAATAATAGATTAAAAAGAAGTAAGACAAAGCATTAACACTAGGGCTGTGCAAATTAACAATTAATTTATCGATGAATCGTTAATCTTTTTGATCGATTAAACATTTTTTGATCGATTAAACATTTTTTTGAAACTTTATGCATGAGCGCCAGCCAAGGCATTGGCCTATACACATACAGCACAGCAATGAAGTAATAAAATGAACTAGGATCACACTAATCCAGCATGTTATTATTCTGAGTTGTTGGGGCACGTGAGATTAATAACGTGCTGGATTAGTGTGATCCTAGTTCATTTTATTACTTCATTGCTGTGCTGTATGTGTATAGGCCAATGTATTGGATCTGTATGTGCATTATAATTAATTGAAATTAATCGATTAAAAAAAAATTTGATTAATCGAACACGAAAATTTTAATCAGCAACAGCCCTAGTTAACACATTGCTTCAAGCATACATACAGCAGACACAATCCTGTGGGCAGCCGGATCTAAACTGATGTGTCTCGTTTACATCCGATTGCACTGGACTCCAGCCAGATCCAAAAAACCAAATGGAACAAAGTTCTGTTTTGGCAGACCTGATTATTACGGATCGGGGGTTACTGATGTAAACAGACACATCTGACTCCATGTACATCTGGACTCCCCATAGACCTAACATGGGTCTGGTAAGTTCAATTGCGATGAAGAAAAAACTGGGTGGACATGAATGTAACAATGGTAACATCAGTTCCGAACTGCTCCAATCAGCAGAGGATCAATGATCAGAAGAACTGACAAACACCCATGTGAATGGGGCCTTAAGCAGAACTCATACAAAAAAAAACAAAAAAAACTACAACAGCAGGGACATGGAATTGAGCATGCTAAACAAGCGATCATTTCATACTTGATTTCTTTGTTTATTGCTTCCAACTGCTCCTGTAACATGATAGCGAGGGTCTGCACATCTGTCTGGCCACTTGGAGACAGTAGGTCTGCTGAGCTGAATATGGTCTCTCTGTCATCTTCATCAGAGCCGTCCAAGTCACCTTCAAATGCTTGTGCCACATTGGCAAGCACATTGGCCTGCTGAGCCCGCTCCCACTCCTGTTCATCCAGGGTTTGAATCTAAGTGGGAAGGGTTAAGGTAAAACAATTAAAAACAATTCTGTGGTAAGAAACTGACTGATTGCCATGGGGATGTTGACAACTTGGTTGAAATTTATACTGGGGGGAAAAAAGTAGCACTAAAAGGCAAAACCTGTTTATTCACTTTGGATAGAGTGAAGAGGGTTTAGAAACATTGTTGAATTTCTAATGCTGCGTGTGTCCTCGTTAGGGGGAGCCACTCTCTCTCTCTTTGTCCCAGTGTCCTTTTTCACTGAGAGTGAACATTAAAAAATTCAAAATTTTGAGTTGAAGCAAAACAGAAACTGAGGACAAACCTTCCAATTAAGAGCAAAGTTCTGGTGTCCCTGGTGAAAACCAGAGCTTTCCCTTACTTTGGAGGCATTTTCTCTCCCTTCCTGAGCGAGCAGGGGAAGGAACATCTCCCCAATGGGACACAGATGGCCAAAAAACTGACAGGGCTTATAGTCCTCCCTTACTCTATCCAAAATGAAAAAAGTTTTCACTTTATTCCACTTTAATTGGTTAGAAAAATGCATGCCAACAAAAGCAAATCAAACATCTTAATAAGAAGCGTGCTGGAATAGGAAGCCATTTGTAATCCAGCAAGACAAACTTTATAGCACATTAAGCAATCTTTAAGGTATAGTTAACTGTGAAGAAGCATTTTTAAAAGAGAACTACTTCTAGCAGAATAATGCAAACAATCCTGCTTCTGTTTTGAAGTCAGTTTCCAAAATGCCCTTAGCAGGTGATCACTATATACTGTATGTACATTTGCAGATTTGATGATACCTGTATTCATAATTTTGTTTCAGAAAAAACAAGAAAAAGAGGGGGAAGGAGAAGTAAGAAAAATATGTAATATACGTTGGATGGAGAAAATGGGAAGGGGAAACCCCTTACTTTACTCCTCTCTTTTTCCCCTTCCCATTTTCCCTATCCAAAGTATATTACATATGTTTATTACTTCTCATTTCCCCTCTTTTTCTTTTTTGGGAAAGGAATAGAACAGTAAAAGGAACAAAAATTTAAAAAGAAGGAATATAAAAAGGAAAGAATCACTATTATAAAAAGGAGGGAGGGATTGAGAAAGCTCCCAGCTGCTCAATGTGTATCAAATAATGCAGTTCTATACTTGTTTACATTTCAGCATTGTTTACACTGTTATGCACTCTCAGAGTTATGCAGCTGACAGGACAGCAACTGTCAGAATTCAGGTGGCCGCTAATTAAGTATAGCTAAAGAAGGGAGCACACATCATTTTAAGTAAGCCTTTATAGATATAATACAATTGTTTTTGTACTGACTATGAATTACTTTTCACCAATGTATATTGAGGTACACAGAACTGTAGATTCATAACTTGTGTGTATACTGCTGCCTACAGGAGGACTGGACTGTATGCAAAAGCAAAAGGGTGCCCTCTAGAGGCTATACCTGCTGTAGAAAATCAGTAAGAAAGGGGATAGAGAAAAGTATCAGCCTCGCCTAAACACACAAATGTGCAACTGTGGGGCTAAACAAAAATGAGCAATTAACATTGCAGAAAATAGTTTTATAGCTAGTACAAAAAATTCTGGTTTTCTCCATCATTCAATGAGGGAAACATTAATTTAGAATCATAACCTCTGGGATATCTAAAAGCAATATAGGAAACTGGGGGGTGAGCAAAGTTAGCAAACAAAACAACAAGGGGGAAGTCTTGCAGTCCAGGAGTAAACATATGATCACAAAGCTGCCTGCAGAACCTTGAGGCAAAGCTAGCATCCGCTGATGCAGCCACTTCCATGCAATAAATTTAGCGGGGACACACACACACACACACTCCGCTGGGCACTACTGGATGTAGGGGGTGACTCTGCTGGGCATGCCTGGATGTAAGGGGAGAATCTGCTGGGCACACCTGATTGTAAGGGGGAATTCATTTTTTCAGCTCACAAAAATGTATAAAATATATCATGTGGCCCTTGTACTGAAATGTTTGGAGACTCCTGCTCTAGTGGCATCATAGGAATTATTTCACCCTGACCTGCCAGTTTTCTCCTTTAAAGCTTCTTCAATGGCTTCTTTGGAGGAATGAGCTGGAAGGAATTTCCATAATTCTCATATCTCCAGTCTAGCCAAGGAGGACTCAGACCTAATGTGTCTATTCACAGATTCACCAGTTGCACAGTGTGACTCGTTGGAATCGAATCCTCACT